AACCCAAGATTGAACCACAGCGCCCCCTGGCATGACTGTTAGGTGAAGCTCAAGCCAGTATCTGACTGTAGGAGATCATGTACAAACAGCGGAACCTCCTTTCTAAGGTGACTGTGGTTTCTTTCTAGGTCACTGGAACCCCCAGGCTACCACCGATGGTAAGACGTTTTTGCTTTACTTGTCTTCCTGGGCTTTGCTCACTGGCAGGGTCAGCCAGTTCTGCTGCTGCTGCTGTTGGCTAATTGAGGCTGAGTGCTGGCTTGGCCACAGAGCAAGTGTCTGCCCTTCAGAACACAGGGATGGAGAGGGAGGGGTCAAGGGGTGCCAAGACCCTAGGCACCTCCCAAGCATACACTCAGCCAGGCCCATCTTTCTTTCCCCTTCCTTCTTCTCTCGCCTCTCATTCATTCATTCATTCATTCGTTGCATGAGATTGGCTTCAGTTTGGTGTCCCAAGAGACGAAGAGTCAACGCCTCTTCTCACCATTCATGGCAGTTTTCCTGAAGAGAACTAACATCCTCCCAGCGGTCGCTATATACCCTGCACAAAATTATTTTTATACATCAAGTGAGTTAATATATTCAAAAAGCACTTAAAATACTGCCTGGCACATCAGTGCTCAACTAATGCACACAGTAGGTGCTATCATCATGAAATCTTCCCAACAACACTGATGTGAATAGCATAATTACCCCCATTTTGCAGATGGGGAAACCGGGACCCAGTTAGGTAAGCCATCAATAGTTACATGTCAAAGGTCACATGGTGGGTAAGTGGCTGGGCAGAGATTTGAACCTAGAACAGGTGCCTTTGCCTTTGTCCATGATTCTCTCTAAATGTATTCGCCTCTCCTCCTACTCCACAGTGAGAGTGTGTGCGCTTTGACATGTCAGGGTCCTTTATGTGCTAACCCAGGACAGCTGACCCTGCCAGTGAGTTGTTGGCTCAATGAGTTGAGGCCAATCCCTGCCCTTTCAGAGCACGCCTTGTGAGCATGCCTGGGAAGGACTCAAGGGACAGCTTTCTGGTGATTGACGTCCAGCAAGGGACAGGTTGAGGCAGGGAAAGGGAGAGCTCTCCTGCATTCACAGGAGTGACCAGAAGGGGGCCCCAAGGAGGGCTGAGGAAGCTCAAATGCTCCGTGAGAATACCCCAGAAACAAGGCAATTTACCTT